AAGGGGGGTAGCTTGCAGGCAGTTTGAAAATGCTGAAAACTCCAAATAATTTTAAAAGCCTAATATTTTAATATGTGCAACTTGCCAGGGGCAGGAGAACATTTATTCTAAAATAGACCACATTATTTTAGAGATTGAGAAATGCTTATGTTTCAGAAAGCTTCAAAGTAGTTTCACCAGTAAGTGATAGGATAAGAAAAGTAACTTAAGAAAATTATTTCCCCACACAATCAGACTTGAACTTCAAAATGCTCTTGTAGATAGACACACATTTTTCAAGAAAAGGATAGATAAAACACATACAGTAAATGCAAGTGAAACTTTTCCAACAGATAAACTTAAAACAATCCCTCCTGGTAACTTAAGGCTGTTCTTGAGCGTACACAGAGAAAGAGGAAAACAAACAAACACAATTCTTTTTCTTCACTCTGTTTGTTGGCCAAACAGAGTGAGGTATTTCCTTTTTGTGGCTTATTTTAAGCAGAATTTCTAGAAGAATTTAAAATTCTTTTTCCTTTGGATTTGAAACAGTTAACAGTCACATTTACCTCTCACACACAGACTTTGACAAACATATATACACAAATACAAGAGAACAGAAGTCTTAGTTTTACACATCCTAGTCATTCCCACCATAAATTTCAGATAACTCAAGTTAGGGAAGGCACATATTTTAAACATACCACGTGGTTGCATAGAGAAGAGAGAGAGAGATAGAGAGAGAGAGAGAATCACTATTTCTTATTTTCCCTTTTAAGTACCTTTATTTAGCCAAATTGGTTTCCCAGCAAGGCCCTAAGCAAAGTCTATTTTTCTTTCATACGCTACACAGTCGAAGTCTCCTTGTGAGACTTCTTTCCTAACACAGTCGAAGTCTATTTTTCTTTTTTTTCATATAGTTTCTTTACTTACCTCTTTTCCATTCCGGCCTGGACAGGAAGCTGATTCCTGTCCCAGGCTACGAGCAAGCTTTCAACTGGGAAACCTACCTTAGCCCTTGAATTGGAATCTCCCATTCTTATTTGACGAGATTTTCCCTTGACGCTAAAGGGCACTACACAGTCAAAGCCTCCTTTTGAGACTTCTTTCTTCCACCACGATTCTTTGTGAGTCCGGTAAAAATGGGACTCAAGGAGCACTCTGGATCCCTCACAGAGTTCGTGGGACAGCTCCTCTGAGGGATCCTGCCACGTTTTCAGACCAAAAAGGGGTCTGCAGAGACACTTCTGGTTTCCTCGTTAGAAGGTACTGGCTACTCTTCGACCGGCCGGCTTCACACCACTGTTTACGGATGCCTCTAATGTCTGTGGGCACCTACACTTGCTCTCGGAGGTAAGTGGCCGCTCCCTTCCTGAGGCTTAATTTCCTAACTTTGCTTTGCTTACAGGGCCTTACCAGCTAGTTGCCCAAATCCAATTCTTTCATTCACTCATTCCATTTCATTTTCACACAGCCTCTCCCTTTTCCCTAACAAAAGGTTCTGTGCTCTGGCCAACCCCCATGCTTTCCAGGTTCTGCCAATTAAACAGATCCTTTCTGCGGCTAGGAAAGACCAGAAGCAGCAAAATCCAACTGTGATTGGGAAAAAAAGTCTTCTCACTCACCCAAACAGAAATGCACATATTTTCTTTGTTCCCCTGGGCTTTAAACTTAAAATTTAGAGGTACTCACCTTCATCTTCTTTCCAAAGCAGCCCTTGAGCTCAAACTCTCAAAACTCCCTTTACTACCCTAGCTCCACATGGGCAAGGCCTGGGAAACCCATCCACAGACACAAGGGGGTCTGCTGCCGGCAAGATGGGGCTTACCAGTCTCAGTCCATTGGAGAGGTTAGCTTGGAGTCCCATCTCGGGGTGCCAAATTGTTAGAAGTAAGGTCTTCATCCTGGTTCATCCAAGCCGGGAATAAATAAGCAAACATGGCGACTGCTTTGGGAAGAAGGTTACAGTTTATTGCAGAAAGATGGTTCTTCAGGAAAGTGCAGAGGAGAGAGAAGAGAGGCAAAGAGAGGAGAGCGAAGGAGAAGGGCTGAGCACATGGGGCAGTAGGCTTTTATACCCCCTCTAGCCTTGTTTGGAATAATTTCCTGTTCCTGTGGCATGAACCTTGAGGCTGTTTCTGAGTGTTTGTCTAGGCCTTGATATCTGTGGTTTAATTCTGTTATCATATCCTGCTTCCCAGGTGATGGGGCTGACTCCTAGAGTTTGGGTGGGGTATGCAGATCTTCTCTTTTGTCTTCTTGATTGCTCTGGCTCCAACTTTCTGATGGTTTTACATCTGCATTTGTACAGGGCTAAAGTCTTGCTTGGGGCAGAGAGATAGATTTGGGGCCAGGTTTGGTTTTAAAAAGTCCTTTTGAAGAAAAATATATTTTTCTGCCCTTTTTAATATTTCCTTCTGGGCTAACTTTCATCAGTACGTACATGTATATATATAAAAATAAACATCTTGAGAATGAGATAACTGGCAAATATAAAGGTATATAACACAAAGCATTCCAAAATATGCTAACACAATTAGGTAGGACTTGTTTCAAACAAATTTAACTTTTAAATGGGATTAGTTGAGTTAAATTATGGTAACCATTCAAGAAATTAGTTATGATCAGGTATTTGTTCATAGTTTCTTGGTTAGTTTGCTAAGCTCATAACAGGCAAGTCTCATTTCTTAATTTGTAACATGACCTTCAATTCCAAGAAACTTATTTTCAGTTGAGCTTTAGCTGCTATGACACAAGAATACCAAAGTGAGCCTAATCAGATTATATAGGTTAAGTATTGTACCAGTGACGGTTGCTTTTATTTAATTTACCTTGAAAAATATATAACTGATATTTCATAAGAAAGAAACAACAATATTTAGAGAAGAAATTGCTCTGATTCTTTATAGTGACTCAGATAACCCAGACATACCATAAATATAGGGTTTATATTCATTTGAAAACTTACATAATAATGAGGTGAGGTGTCATTTTAGACAAGGTAAGAGCAATATATATCACCAAACCTTATATTCCAATTTAGTTTTTTGTTTCCTTTAAGGATTCAGCCTTGGCAACACTTTTTTACACATTGGTAGTTTTAAAAAGAGCCGAAGATGGATCCAGAAAACTATTGCCATAAAAACCCTTATTATAGTTTCTAAATTATAAGTTAATTGCCAACAGACAAATGAAAGCAATTACAGTAATTGATCTTTAGAGATCAATTAATAGATCAACTTTTTATCCTCAAAGCACACTAATGATTTTATCTCGTTATTTGCTGCATTTTTAATAATCTTATCAAGAAATATTTAAATGAACCATCTATCCAGTTTTAGTATTTAAGAGCTCTTATTTAAAACTAATGGCACAAGGTTTTACTGTGTTCTTGCAACAAACACATGAAACCAATTATGTAAGGATTACAGTTGTTTTAATACAGGGATGTCAAACTGCCGACCCGTGGGCCGGATGCATCATACCAAAACGCGTCCACCCCATTGCCGGCAATGGAAAAAAAAGTCTCAATACATCACAACACGTCACGTGACGTTGCAAGTTTGACACCCCTGTGACTTAATAGAATTTAAAAATCTGTGGCCGCTCTAAAATTCCCCCTCAAAAAAAAAAAAAAGGAATTATATAGCTGACAGAAAAGGGGAGCTTAGGTACTGCCTGCAATTTTGGGGTGTAGGTTACCATCTTGACACAGATTAAGAAAATTATCTTCAGATAGAAAAGAATTAGATTATTAAAAAAACAAGCAAATGAGTCACCATTGATTTCTCTGTTGCAAATCATTTCCCAAGAAACTTCAGAATAGTATTATAATAGACTTTGAGGGCTCAGGAACTGCCTTGCTAACATAAATTCCTTATTACAGTACTGAAAATAAGTTTTTCATTTCCATATTAACAATTTTGGGAATAATAAAGACAAAAGTTGATATTACAAATGCTGAAATGTTTTAATTTAAAAATGAGTATAGTAATTTCCATACATACAGTTGTTTTTATAATGCAAAGTCATCATTATTCTGTTTAATTCTGTTTAAGAATTCTTAAATCTTGGATCATCTGATATAGACAAAACTAAAAGTTGCCTTCATAGAGTTTTGGTGTGGTGAATCACATTGTATTACTCAGAAGGTTAAGTTTCGATGGTGCAAGAGCTTATATATTTGTATTTGATGCAGAGTATACATAAAATGAAAGTTAAATATATTTCCCAATGCATCTTTAATCTTAACTGTTTTGGAGAAAGAGGTATTTTACATTTTTTTAAATGAAGACTTTTCTTTTTTGCTCTCTATATAACATACTGTAAGTAAATATAAATAAACTTGTTATAATTTGTATTTCTTTCCACAATGATGTATATTTTGCCTTGATCTTATTCTATCAAGGAAATATTCAATAATTTTAATCATATGGTTATTCATTGCTAAATAATACATTATCTACCTTTGCTGCTCACTTTTTAGATAAGCTAAAGAATAAGTTTAGCAAATCCTAAAATCTGACATTATTCATTGACATCAATTACAATGGCCAAGTCACAACACTGACTTGACACTGTAATGGGTTGTCTACTTAACAGACCTATCTTATATTTATTACAAAGAAAGAGGCTCTTTTAGTGCCTCTCCTAAAAACAAACCCCACACTTACTTTCAAATTATGGCCTTCATATTACCCCACCCCAAAAAGCAGGAAAACTATGACAACTTGCTGTTTTTTGAAATATTGTACTTCAATTTTTGCCTGGTGAAATAGAATGCCTCATCTTATTTAATGGTAGAAATCATTCAACAAAAGTAGCAATACAGATGTCTGTCAGAATAATTTGAAGTACATTTTCCTTGCCTTGCCTGTTGGTTTGATTAATTATGTGCTATTCAGCTCTTAGTGACCACATAGAGAATAATCTATCTAAGGTAATCTTCCAAGCACCCACCACTGCTTGCAATTGAGTCCATCTATCTAGCTGCTGATCATTTTCTTTTTTTTTTTTTTCAGCATTATGTCTCATGTAAAGTCATTGAACATAAACATTTGTGCCTTCTCCAGCATCAGAGGTCAACACTGTTAATGTTCTTTTTATCCTGCTTCTTCAAAGTCCATTGATAACAGTCTTATCACTGATCTCTTACCTGCTATACTTCCACTAGCCCACAGAGAAATGAAACATAAGTTGGTAGTAATTAGAGTGTGAAAATAAACAGGGTCCACTTTTAACTGCACTAATAAACGTATTGGAAACAAAAGATTCACAAATACAGATACATGCTATATTAATTGTAATGTGATTCAAAATAAGCAAAGTTAATATGAATGATTAGCATGGATATAAATGAGAACTTGCTCTGTGATTAATGTTCCTTGAATAAAGCATGAAGAGTAATTTAAATGCCTAAGACTGGAATGAGATTTTAAGTAAACTTGGAATTATTTGTTGTTAAATTCTGTGCTTTTAGAAACTACAATAAGCCTAAAAGCTTCTGCAACTAATATAAAATTAAATAATTCATCAATCACATTTCATGATTTAGAATACAAATATTCTTTTTAGAGCCATTTGATCTGAGCTATATCTGCAGACTCATTTTTAAATTGTGTGTTTATATTGTATGTTCGTGTAGACCCTTATGTGCATGTACCAGTTGAAGCTGGGGAAATGAAATTGTACTTTTCCTATGTCATTTGACTGTATTTTTTTCTCTAAAAAGCAGGATGTGATATCAGAAGATAATAATGTCCGGCATTGCAGAGGATGTTACCCTTTTGTTATCCTACCCATATCAGGAAATAAACAATTCCTTATCAGTACTCTTAAATGTCACACCTTTGTCACCCCTTTAAAAAAGTATGTTCTAATCCCATCCTCTTACTATTGCAGCTCACTTCCAAACACCACCCTCCAAAATCAATACAGATGGGGAAAAAGTTCTCAAATATTTTGGAAGCTTTCTAGTGAGGGAAATGACTAATGGGGTTTATCCTGCAGCAAGATTGTACGTCTATTTTATATAACTGTACATTTTGTTATTTGGCAGCAGCTAGACAATTTAACATCCTCAGAATCTTCCTTGAGAGATAGTTTTCTAAAGCAGTATTTTATAGCTGGAAAGTTAAAGATCTTAAGATTTGCAACTAATATTAGTAATAATTTCAGTTTAGAAAATGAAAGTTAAGCTAGCCATGGGGTTTAAAAACACGTATTTCACATTGCTTATTATCCCTATTGTGTACTGTATTACACTTCAATGCAGATCTTCAGTGCTGATGTGCACAGTCTACTTTACCCAGCAATGTGATACTTAATCTAACCTAGAAGTCCTGAAGGCTAGATTTCAATAATTACATTAGTTATCTGCCTTCAGCACTCTTACATAAATCCAGCATCTATCACCATGTCTCACTTATTTCCAGCAACCGTGTATTTTCCCTATTCCTGATCTGAAAAAATTTCAAAAAACAATAGGCACTGAACGTATTACAGAAAAATAAGGGTTGTTTTTTCTTCTCCTGCTTATAACATGGTCAACTTGTTAGAGCTGAGCACTATATTGCCTTTGATTCAGGAACCACACTGCACAAACTGCAAAAGGTCTCACATTGGGCTATTGACAAATGAAAAGCCAATGTCATTTGCACAGTAAGGAGGCTTTTACTTTACAATTTAAGTGAAGGCAGAACACATCTCTCAGTCAGATATCTCTAATATTATTTAAGAGTGCATCCAATTTCCCACTTTCATTTATAGTAAGGTAATTAAGATAATCCTTTTAAATCAGAGGTCTTCAAACTTGACCCTTTTTATGACTTGTGGACTTGAACTCCCAGAATTCCTCAGCCAGGCACACTAGCTGAGGAATTCTGAGAGCTGAAGTGCACAAGTCATAAAAGGGCCAAGTTTGAAGACCCCTGTTTTAAATGATCTGAAGTGCTTTTTTCCTGGTTTCTTCTTACCTGGACTAAGTTGCCAGTTATGAGCTCAGCTGGCAGGTGACTCACTTGCTTATCTTTAGTTTGTTTATGGCTTCTATTTCTTTCTCAGCCTTCCTATAATCTCTCACATTTAAAGTTACCTGATTTCAAGTAATTAGGTAATTCCAAGGACATCACTATATGTGTTCTTTCTACCTGTCTAAAATCACTTGTATGTTGTTCACTCCCACTTTATGATCAGCATTCAGTAGCTGAGCCAATTGATTCTAGTGGGTGCAGTGAAGAATTACATTACAGGTAATTTCCCATAAGTATACTGAAACTGCAGATCGTCAGACAGTCTTATTTCTTCCTTGGTAAGAACTTTTACTGTATCCTATTATTTTATCCCAGGTCTCAAACCGCCCACTGCCTGCCTTTAGCAACCACATTTTACAAGTCTTTTAAGTGCAAGCACACACTTTGGAGTGTGTGTTCATTGTCAATTATCCCTATATTCACACATACATTAGGTAGTAAGCAAAATATCTTTGTAATAATGCAGTTGCAGAGTGGTACAAAACAGGATGTTAAAACAGCAAAATGTAATGCATCCTCTATTTTTGATATAAAACTTTTTTTAAAAAAAAATCAACTATAGAGCGTTTCCCTTTCATTTTATTCATTTCATTCAGGCTAAAGATAAGTTACACCATTTACTTTTAATAAATCTTCTCAAATTACTTGCCTACAAACACCAGCAGCAGTAATAACAATTTCAAACTGAGTCTATCTGAATGACTGGCTACACACTGTGGGAATCAGATTGTATATTGAAAGATGTTTTGGCTCTTAGTCTCAGAGGTCAAATAGAGGAAGTTGAATCGTAGGTCACATACTGTATCCCACTAAGCCATTATTTGCTTAAGCATGTCTCATCACATTTCGCTAGGTTCATACCACATGCTAAACTAAAACCAAACTAAACCAATCATATTATGGTTCAATGTAAAGTGCAAGCCTAAGCAATGTATTTAAAGCTGATTTCATTTACTACCATCATATAGCAGATGAAAAGGGCTGATATTGAACTACGAGGAGGTAAAATTCCATCCCTACTAAAGTTAAGTGCATTCTTGTTTGCTATGGAAATCTCAAAACTGAACAATTCAACTTAGATGTCAGTCATTGCCATAATGTTGCTGATTAGCTTGGCACTTCCTCTGAGAGTATAATGCCACCTTCAGAGCCACCTATGTCCTTTTTGTTCAACAGGTTCCTTTCTCAATGGGTAGCTGTTGCCTGCTAATATCCAGCCCAAGTCCAAAGAATTTCCCTATTCACTACCCCAGAACTATCCAAAATATAGCTCACATAGGTTTTTGAGTCCTTTTAGACTGGCAAGTACCAACCTATTCCTAGACTAAATACTAGTTCTTTTGCTGCCATCCATTGGAGAAACATGTCAGAAGCCAGAGAGGTGGTTGGTAAATTCCTTGATTTTTTTTTAATCTGCCTTTATCTCCTTTTTGTTCAATTTAAATAGCTTTTCTTGTGCTAGCAATGAGTCCATTTTGTTGCCCCAAAGCTTCAAGATGCATTGTGGAATCTGGAACTTTCAAAGTTTTACATTTCTGCATGCACTGGTCTGCCACTATTCAGATTGCTGGGTAGAATTCTAATTGTAAATTGTGCAAGTGATTTCATATCATCGTTGACATTACAGGCTACATTGTCATTGCTTAAAGCCTCCCAATGACTTTAACATTTTATTTTAAGTTGCTTGCATTTAAAAATAAAATGAAATTTCTGAAGGTTAAACAAAAGCAGGAACTCATGAATGGATTTTATTCATTTACAACAATATGCAGTATGCTAAAGAATCCCTGTTCTCTCATAAAATACCAGACATAGAGGATGTGTTTATGTCAATTATGTTATTATGTCATGTGGTTATTTAGTTTGGCTTAATGTATTGCATGAATTCAGGAAATAAATCATTGGCTATGTTTGCTATGTTGTATAAACTCAACCAACTGTACTTTAGTTGTATTTTACTTTGGCTGTGCTTAATAAACTATGTTGAAAAGATGAAGGCTCCTTCCAGTTAAGCTTGATTTGTAATGATTACACAGGCAGTTTCCATGGAAACACAGCAGAAGTGGTTTGATAATTGTCTTTACTTGTTTGTTTCTTTCATTGTTTCATTGATTGATTCTTTGGGTTTCCCAGTGATCTCCAATCCAAACCTGCTTAGCATTTGAAATATCAGCCAAGTTTGTCAGGTACAGCTGTCTCTTTTGAGGAAAAAATACAGATTTAATTTGAGTTTGATTTTACTACAAGGATGCCCTCATAATGTTCTCTTGGTAACAAAATAGAAGTAGTTTCCTGCTGTCTTCTTCTACTTAACTTTCCAGTCCAACCCATAACCCTATATTTCCTGGTAATCGCCCATTTCAATATTGACCTTTCTTTCTGAGAGATATTTTATCATGCATGGGAGGGGCTCGCGAAAAAGCAAAAACAATACTGGAAACAAATACGTACATGTGTCCAGAGAATTTTAAAAATTAACAGTCAGGTGAAACTAGTACTTTTCTTATGGATGCTTCACTAGAAAAGCTAATGGACAATTGGTCTTATATATTGTAACAACATTGTTGCTGTTATATGCACAAAAACAGAAGACTTTAGAAACACTAATAATGGAGGAATGACTTGTGAAGTTGTCTGTGTTTGCCAAAAAGGTTAAATTGACTTGTTTGATTAAGGAGGGAACTACAACTATTTTATAAAAGACTTGGGAAAAAAATCAGACTTTTTGCTGAAAATGGTTAAAAATGAACTTTCTGTGACTATGTTTCTGACTGCTGATTTTGGGATTTATTGATTAAAAAGATTTGTTTATGGGAAGAAGGAAGTGATTGGAAGTCGCTTCTTTAGATTTTTTTCTTCACTTTTGTTCTTCCCTTTTATCTTTTATTTCTTGTATATTTCTGTAATTTTTGATTTTTTTGTAAAATATTTTAAGAAAAAATGTAAAGCATATAATCTTGCCAAGAAGGATAAACTGCTAGCATGGAATAGGAACTCAATTTAAAAACAAGTAAAGGAAATAAGCTCCTGCTTATTTTCCTTGTATAATAGTTTTCAATAATAAAACTCAAAAGCCTTTTTATTTAACAGAATAACGGCATTGGAAGGGACTTTGGAGTTCTACTAATTCAACTGCCTGCTCAGGCAGGAAGCTCTGTACATTTCAGACAAATGATTGTCTGATCTCTTCTTTAAAACCTCCAGTTTTGGAATATCCAAGCTTCTAGAAGCAAGTTGTTCCACTCAACATTATAAAAGCAAAATAAACTTATAGGAAAGGATTGGAAATGGCATGTGATCTCTTTCATATATATTAAACACATGACTCTTTTGTTGTTGTTAGTTGCGAAGTCGTGTTCAACCCATCGCGACCCCATGGACAATGTTCCTCCAGGCCTTCCTGTCCTCTACCATCTTCTGGAGTCCATTTAAGCTCATACCTACTGCTTCAGTGACTCCATCTAGCCACATCATTCTCTGTCGTCCCCTTCTTCTATTGTCCTCAATCTTTCCCAGCATTAGGCTCTCCTCCAATGAGTCCTTCCTTGTCATTAGGTGGCCAAAGTACTTGAGTTTCAACTTCAGGATCTGGCCTTCTAAAGAGCAGTCAGGGTTGATCTCCTCTAGGACTGACTGGTTTGATCGCCTTGCAGTCCAGGGGACTCGCAGAAGTCTTCTCCAGCACCATGGTTCAAAGGCCTCAATTCTTTTGCGCTCAGCCTTTCTTATGGTCCAACTTTCACAGCCATACATTGCAACTGGGAAAACCATGGCCTTGACTATACGTACTTTTGTTGGCAGGGTCATGTCTCTGCTTTTTAGTATGCTGTCTAGATTTGCCATAGCTTTCCTGTCCAGGAGCAAGCATCTTTTAATTTCTTAGCTGCAGTCCCCATCTGTGGTGATCTTGGAGCCCAGTAAGATAAAATCTGTCACTACCTCCATTTCTTCCCCATCTATTTGCCAGGAATTGAGAGGGCCGGATGCCATGATTTTGGTTTTCTTAATGTTGAGTTTCAAGCCAACTTTTGCACTCTCCTTCTTCACCCGCATCAAGAGGCTCTTTAGTTCCTCTTCACTTTCTGCCATTAGAGTGGTATCATCTGCATATCTTAGGTTGTTGATATTTCTCCCGGCAATCTTAATTCCAACTTTTGATTCATCTAGCCCTGCCTTTCTCATGATGTGCTCTGCAAATAAGTTAAATAGGCAGGGCGACAGTATACAGCCTTGCCGGACTCCTTTTCCAATTTTGAACCAATCAGTGGTTCCGTGTCCAGTTCTCACTGTTGCTTCTTGACCCGCATATAGGTTTCTCAAGAGACAAATGAGATGGTCTGGTACTCCCATCTCTTTAAGAACTTGCCACAATTTGTTGTGATCCACACAATCAAAGGCTTTTGCATAGTCAATGAAGCAGAAGTAGATGTTTTTCTGGAACTCCCTAGCTTTCTCCATGATCCAGCGTATGTTGGCAATTTGATCTCTAGTTCCTCTGCCTCTTCGAAATCCTGCCTGTACTTCTGGTAGTTCTCGATCCACATACTGCTGGAGTCTAGCTTGTAGGATTTTAAGCATAACTTTACTAGCATGTGAAATGAGTGCAATGGTGCGATAGTTTGAACATTCTTTGGCATTGCCTTTCTTTGGAATTGGAATGTAAACTGACCTTTTCCAATCCTGTGGCCACTGTTGAGTTTTCCAAATTTGCTGGCAAATTGAGTGTAGCACTTTTACTGCATCGTCTTTTAAGATTTTGAATAGCTCAGCTGGAATACTGTCACCTCCACTAGCTTTGTTGTTGCTCAGATTTTCTAAGGCCCATTTCACTTCACATTCTAGGATGTCTGGTTCGAGGTCAATGACCATCTCATTGTGGTTATCTGGGATGTTAAGCTCATTCTTGTATAGTTCTTCTGTGTAGTTTTGCCATCTCTTCTTAATCTCTTCTGCCTCTGTTAGGTCTCTGCCATTTTGGTCCTTTATCATGCCCATCTTTGCATGAAACGTTCCCTTCATATCTCCAATTTTCTTGAAGAGATCTCTGGTCCTCCCTGTTCTGTTGTTTTCTTCTATTTCTTTGCACTGTTCATTTAAGAAGGCATTCTTATCTCTTCTAGCTACTCTCTGGAATTCTGCATTCAATTGGGTGTATCTTTCTCTTTCTCCTTTGCCTTTCGCTTCCCTTCTTTCCTCAGCTATTTGCAAAGCTTCCTCAGACAGCCATTTTGCTTTCTTGCATTTCTTTTTCTTTGGGATGGTTTTAGTTGCTACCTCTTGTACAATGTTGCGAACTTCCATCCATAGTTCTTCAGGCATTCTGTCTATCAGATCCAGTTCCTTAAATCTATTTGTCACCTCTACTGTATATTCATCAGGAATATGATTTAGTTCATACCTGAGTGGCCTAGTGCTTTTCCCTACTTTTTTCAATTTAAGCCTAAATTTTGCAACGAGAAGCTCATGATCTGAGCCACAGTCAGCTCCTGGTCTTGTTTTTACTGACTGTATAGAGCTTCTCCATCTTTGGCTGCAGAGCACATAGTCAATCTGATTTCTATGTTGACCGTCTGGTGATGTCCATGTGTAGAGCCGTCTCTTGGGTTGTTGGAAAAGAGTGTTTGTTATGACCATCGTATTCTCTTGACAAAATTCTATTAGCCTGTGCCCTGCTTCATTTTGTTCTCCAAGGCCAAACTTGCCTGTTATTCCGGTTATCTTTTGGCTTCCTACCTTAGCATTCCAATCCCCCATGATGATAAGGACATCATTTTTTGGTGTTAATTCTATAAGGTGCTGTAGGGCTTCATAGAACCGGTCAATTTCATCCTCTTCAGCACCAGTGGTTGGGGCATAGATTTGGACTACTGTGATATTGAATGGTTTGCCTTGGATTCGAATTGAGATCATTCTGTCATTTTGGGGATTGTATCCCAGTATTGCTTTTCCTATTCTTTTATTGACTATGAAGGCTACTCCATTTCTTCTGAGGGATTCTTGCCCACAGTAGTATACCTGATGGTCATCTGAGTTAAATTCACCCATTCCTGTCCATTTTAGTTCGCTGATTCCTAAGATGTCGATGTTCATTCTTGTCATCTCTTTTTTGACTACGTCTAGCTTGCCTTGATTCATGGATCTTACATTCCAGGTTCCTATGGAGAAAAAATCTTTACAGCATCGGACTTTCCTTTCACCACCAGATATATCCACAGCTGAGTGTCCTTTCGGCTTTGGCCCAGTCGCTTCATTCTTTCTGGCGCTACTAGTACTAGCCCTCTGCTCTTCCCCAGTAGCATATTGGACACCTTCCGACCTGAGGGGCTCATCTTCCAGCGTCATATCTTTTTTCCTTTTAGTACTGTCCATGGGGTTTTCATGGCAAAGATACTGGAGTGGTTTGCCATTTCCTTCATTAAACTACACATACCCAATTTAACAGAATGATTACGCCTTCTATGAAAAAGCATCCATGTAGTTTTGCTACATTCCCCTCCAGACCATTGCTATAACCTCTTAATACAGACTGAAATAGCAGAGGACCTTACCATTCGATTTCTACATCTGTATTTACCAAACTAAGGGATAGATGGAAATTGTATTTTTCTGAGTATGCACACTCACGTTTTAACATAACTACATATGGAGCTTATGCTCTGTAGTAAGTTACAACATGTGAAACTTCTTATTTTAAAATTAGACAACATCCACGTCCAAGGAACATTGTTCCTAGATTTATTCATTCATCAAACAAAACAATGCTGCAGCTGAAATGTGAACTTCTTGCTAATTTCCTTAACTTACCTGTTTCTGCCTGCCAATGGAAAAGATCTATAATATTAGCTTTAAAAAAAGTAATGCCGCTAGTCAACAAAACCTATTCTTTGTTTCAATGGTGTGCCATTGGGACAAACACTTTTTACAGTTGACAAAAGCTAATTTGATCTGAAAGCATTCACAATAGTAAGTTATATTGCATTTCCTTTAGCTGCACGGGAAAATTACAGTCCTTAGGTAACCCAGGCTATCCACTTGAGATGCTTAACTAGATGTAAATGCCAGAATTGCTTCCAAATAAACCTTTATGAGCTGAGTCTATAATGGCTGTAATCTATACAACTTTAAGAACAAGACTGATTGAACAAAAGAATTGCTTCAGAGTAGGTATGTAGAGATGGGATGATATAGTTCAGTCAATTTCCATTTTCAATAAGTATATATAGTAAAATAGTACCACCTGACTGTAAATTTGTATTATATATCTTGGAATATTTCTGGTTACAGCATTTTTTTCAACTTTACCTTTAAATGACTTTTTATTATGAAACTAGATTATTTTTTATCACTCCAGTAATTTTTTAAAATCTGGTTTCTTTTTCAGTGTTTCTTTCCAAATGATATACCAAAAGTCAGCGTCAAAGTCAGAAGGTATTTCAAAGCAAACATTAATAAAGCAGTCATCTTATTCATAAAATATAGTTGTTAGTTCTCAGCTTTCAAAATACTTATACTGATGGCATTGCTCATCCTGTCACAAGGTGGGAATGGCAGTATGGGTCAGGTCCCGGCACAAGAATTATGTATTCATTTAAGTGTAATTATATTGTCTGCTATTTCAGTTTTTGTATTTTTTTTATTTTAGCACCCTGTCAGTTAAAGGATGGATCATAAATTGAAATAATAAAATTATATGTGTTTCTTTCTGATAGAGAGAAAAGAAAAGATAGAAAGAAAGAAAGAAAGAAAGAAAGAAAGAAATAGAAAGAAAGAAATGAAGAAAAGAAGTAAAATCCTCAGCCAAAATATTTGTTTTGTTTTGCTCTGGTTCCTTAGCAACCCTTCCATAAGGTAGATCACAACCTACTACTTGATAAAATAGAAAAATGTGGGTTAAATAGTATCACCATCAGATGGATCCGTAGCTGGCTGACCGGCCGCACTGAGCGTGTAGTCCTCAATGGAACCACATCTAGATGGAGGGAAGTATGTAGTGGGGTGCCCCAGGGCTCTATTCTGGGCCCAGTACTCTTCAACATCTTCATCAACGACTTGGATGAGGGGATAGATGGAAAACTCATCAAATTTGCAGACAACACCAAGCTGGCAGGAATAGCCAACACTCCAGAAGACAGGCTTAAGATACAGGAGGATCTGGACAGACTTGAACACTGGACAATATCTAACAAAATGAAATTCAATAGTGAAAAAGTAAGATTCTACATTTAGGCAAGAAAAACCAAATGTACAGGTATAGTATAGGAAGTACCTTGCTCAATAGTAGTAACTGTGAGAGGGACCTTGGAGTCCTAATGGACAATCACTTAAATATGAGCCAACAGTGTGCTGCAGCTGCCAAAAAGGCCAACTCAGTGCTGGGCTTCATTAACAGAGGGATAGAATCAAGATCACGTGAAGTATTAATACCAC